TAGAAAAAGAATAGAGCAAACTAGTGTTAGAGGCCTTTTTTGCTTTTGATAATTGTATAATAAATAAAAAGAAAACAAATAGATAGAATAGGAAAAGATTAGAAAAGCTAGTGTTAGTTTTTTTTATTAAAGAAAACAAGTAGTAAATGAATAGAGTGCAAGTCTAAAAGGGACAAGTTTTTTTTTAAAGAATAGAATAAGAATAGAGAATGCAAGAGTTAGAGGGTCAAATAAAGACGGAAGAGATGTGTTTTTAGTTGTTTCTTGAAGATGGCTAAGGACTCAGCTGCTGGGATTGATTTGGGCAGGTCATTCCACCAGGAGGGAACAGTTAATGAAAAAGTCTGTGAAAGTGATTTTGTGCCTATTTGGGATGAACAATAAAGCGACGTTCACTTGCAGGACGCAAGCTTCTAGAGGACACATAAGTCTGAAGTAATGAATTTAGGTAAAGGGGTGCAGAGCCAGTGGTGGTTTTGTAGGCAAACATTAATGCCTTGAATTTTATGCGAGCAGCTATTGGTAGCCAGTGCAAATTGATGAACAGAGGTGTGACGTGCGTTCTTTTTGGCTCATTAAAAATTAATCTTGCTGTTGCGTTTTGGATTAATTGTAGAGGTTTGATGGAAGACTGACTGGAAGACCTGCCAAGAGAGCATTGCAATAGTCCAGCCTGGACAGAACAAAAGCTTGAACAAGGAGTTGTGTTGCATGTTCTGAAAGAAAGGGCCTAGGGCCTGATGTATAAACGTTGCGTACGCACAACATGGGCATGGAAATGTGCGTACGCAATTTTTCACACACATATCGGGATTTATAAAAAATAAACTAGGCGTAAATATGTGCGCACCGTACGGACACTGTATACATAACTAGTGCCAATGTGTTAGCCGGAGCTCTAAAACATTTTAGTCCATTACTAACCTGAGCGCAGATTTGCGTTGTTATAGACTTAACAAAATCAATAATAATTAAGTCAATAATCTCAGAGTAAGTCAGAATAAATTCAAATGTAACAAT